TGAGTGGGAAGTAAAAGCATATCTTAACCCAAAAACGGTAATGTATAATATTTCAATTTACCAGTACTGATATATAGTGGTCACACTAGTTTTCTTTTTTTCAGGCTTTTTTCCATTATTTTCACCTAATGAGCATGCTTGTGTAGCACTACCCCCTTAGGAGTTGCGGAGTTTTGGGTGCCCTTATAGTCCTGCACAGCCAGGCAACATGCATTTTCTTCAGACCTTACACACTGGACAGTAAACAGTCCTTGAGCTTGTTAATTTTTTTGGGGTTTTATTAAGGGGTATTGAACTTGGATGTGGTTGAGGGGTGTATGGGATGCCCAAGGAAACTACAACTTGAGAGTAACTCCTTAGCAACTATATACAAGACCACAGACAAAGATTCTCTTCTGGAAAAGCCCTCCAGCCCTCCTGGTGTACCACCTCAGACCACAGATCAGAATTCTTCTCTTCACCCAGCTGCCCGTGGGAATCCCTGAGCACTTTAGCGGAGCATCTCCAGATGAGTAGCTAGTTGGGTTGGCCACCTGACTGCCCTCTCCACATATGGAGCCCAGGGTGTGTGGTATTACTCATTCAGTCCTCTCCTGTAAGCTTGTAGGTTGGTGGTTACCTTCAGGCCTTTCACTGGGCTTGCTCCTTCCCTGCTTCCCAGGCTGTCCTCTCTCAAGGGACAGTTGAGGATGAGAGATCCTCCCATCCAGCCCCTGCCTGTAACAGGGCCCCTCTCCTGGGCCCCATCCCAGGCTCCACACTCTAGCCTTTACTCCATCTTTCACCTGACACTACTCTGCTGATCAGGTTCTTTCATATTTAAGGGCTGTCCTGGCCCCATGCCAAGCCTTGCTCGGGGATTGGCCACTGCTTTCTAGAAATTTCTCAGGTTTCTAGAACAGGGGGAGGTACCAGGGAACTAATGTGAGTCCTTACCCAGACCTAAAGTGACCAGGCTGACTCACACCGAGGCTGACTCATTCCAGGCTACTATTCAGCTTCTGCCTAAAAACCTAACTAGCTCCCTCTAGCAAAACCTGAGGGGAGCTACATTTGTAACACATTTCTTGTCCTAGGATGACAATGTTTACTTACAATACTATATCTATGGAGGAGCAGTGCCGATACCATAGGCTAATCTCATGGGGTTTGGTCTACAAACACCTCCCTCTTGTCTCATGTCCATTACATAGGTAGGAGGAAATGTGGAGTTTGCACTGCACAAAAATTTACAAGGACACTGTAATTATAGCAACATCAATAGGTATTCTGTACTTGCAGGAAATGTTCTTACCCTGTAAAAGAAAACTATTGCAACCATTGCATTTAAGGACTGACAAGCTGCAATGTTTTACAATGTTTTGGGCTTAGATAAAATGTAGGTGACCCTGGGTGACCTGTTACTTTGTCCTGCATGGGCAAAGGAAATAGCCAAGTTAAAGTGAACATTATTCTTATCAGTTGGATAAATCTATATTCTATAGTGTTAGAAAGTACTGTATTTGTGTCAAGGTCCTACCTTTTCCCAGAGGTTATGTTACTCCATGTGCTGGCATCCATCTTGGATTTCTGCTGAGCATGGTGGGACGCTTTTATGCCTTCAGGTCTCTGAGATCCATCCCCCAGAGGGGTGTGGCTGAGTACATATAAGCCTGTGATCCGCACATGCTCTTTGCACTTGTGTCTTTGTCTTGCTACAGCTCTGTGTATATGCTCGTGACTCTTCTGGTATTCTGACTCGGCTTGTGACTAAGACCATTCTCTGTGTTTTCCTTCGATCTGACCTTTCGTTGCTGAACCCGGCCCGTGACCTGTGATTCTCTGTCTACTGTTCTGTACTGTTTTGTCCTGTTGTTGTCGACTCGGCTTGCCTGACTACGCTATTGTCATTCTCACCAGCTACACGCCATTTGGGGGCGGCCATTACCGCAGCCGGGGTGTCTCGGGGGCCGCGACCTGGTTCCTGGCTGCGTCAAGTCCATCCCCACCATCAGGGGCCCTGGTGAAGGGCAGCCTGGGACTTAGACTCCGCGCCTTGAGGGACTTCGGTCTGTTGGTGGTGGTTGTCGTCAGCCAGTGCCTTACCCTGCCACTAGGCCTACCTGTCCGTTCCACAGCCCTGCCCTGACAATTTGCTAACAAAAAGAGCTATTTTTGTTATAAGAGAACAGCTGCTTCCTTAAAGCCTTGCTTAAACACTGACATGCCTCATGTCTGAAGTCTCATATTTATCATGATGTGATAGATTTCAACACTGTCTGCCTGCTTGAGCTGCCAGGGTCTTCTAGTAAGACACACTGCCCCACAGATGGGAGAGTTATTTAAGAACATGTTTAAACTTCCAGGGTATTTATTCAAATCTGTGTTTAGATTAGGCACTAGAATGAGACGGCAGCATACAATTATCAACACTTTTTAAAACCCAAGGCAATGTAACTAATGATGTGGAAATGAATCCAACCAACCAGAACTAACCCTATAATAATGTGGCTTGGAGATGAATGAATGCTACATATATACATTAGCTGCTGAGATGTAATATACATAGGTGAGGTAGAAAATACTCAACTACAAATCAGTGTTTCCCAACCAGTGCCATTCTGGCAATGGCACTAATTGATGTGCCATCCTGCAGGAGTTGGACTGCCTGTGAAACCTCTGTAGGGTCCAGGTATCGCCTCATGCTACCAGTAGTGACACTGACCCTAGCCAAATGCAAAACTAGTGAAAAACAGTCAGAAAAGATGAGTAGGGGGAAAAAAGTGGCCTCCACCTGTAAAACCATTCCTGTTTTGAGGGGTGTTTCATTGTTGCCCATCTAGTGCACCTTTTGTTAATTTCATTAACACCAAAGCAGCTGAAACTGATTAACAACCTCCTCTGCTACTTAACTGACCAGATCAATATCCCAGGAGTTTAATTGACTTGATGCTATACTCTGATTAAAAAGTGTTCCTTTAATTTTTTTGAGCAGTGTATTTTGATATTATGGATGTTCTGAACACTTACCTTTCACATTTTTAACATGACCAACCTGTTGTTGAGGTTGGGTTACATAGAATAAGTTTTGGATTTTTAGACTAAATACTGTGTCACTTGGAATTTTCTGAGAGATATTTCACCATAAAAATCCCTATTTTTTGTTGGCTGCCCTACAGGACAGATCTGTTCTATTTACATGTATATGGGATGTGTTAAGTAAAGGTTACAAGTGAATCCCTGGCAGTACATTTTCGACTTTGACAAGGGCCAAATTGTAATGGATAGACAACTGGATCAGAGCAACTCCAAAACTGCAGCTCTTGTGGTCCAAGGACAGAAAACTGGTGACAGAGTCATGGGTGGCCAAGTCTCAATGATGCATGTCGGGAGCAAAGGCTAGTCTGAGTAGTCCAATCCAGTAGAAGAGCTACTGTAGCCAAAATTCTGAAAAAGTTAAAGCTGGTTCCAGTAAAAAGGAGTCAGAACATACAATGCATTCCAGGTTAAGTATGGGCCTGCATAGCTGCAGACTTGTCAGGGTGTCCTTGCTGACCCGTGTCCAAAGCCAAAAGCACTTACAATGGCCACATGAGCTTCAGAACTGGAGCAAGGAGCAATGGAAGAAGGTGGCCTTGTCTGATGAATCACATTTTCTTTTACATCATGTGGATGGCCGGGTGTGTGTGCTTTGCTTACCTGGGGAAGAAGTGCACCCGAATGTACTATGGGACATAGGCAAGCCAAATGAGGCAGTGTGATGTTTGGACAATGTTCTCCTGGGAAACCTTGAGTTTTGCCATTCATGTGGATGTTAGTTTTTACACGTACCACCTACCTAGACATTGTTGCTGGTTAAGTACACCCCTTCATGGAAACAGTATTCTTTTTGAATATATGTAAATCCTGAAAGGTGTCTGTTTTGCTCTCTCTCAAACACCACAAGATTCAAATCATCGCGCCTATGAAATCACACAAGATACCATAATATATTGAGATGAGAGCTGCTACTATCAACCCACTGTAAATTATAATCCAAAATGTGATGAAATTAAATATATTAAAATATAAAAATGAACCACAAATAATAGCGCTACCCTCAAACATAAAAAAAAATAAAATAAATCCACCACCAAATATGTGCATTAATTAGTAAATTATAAAATAAATATAAGGATAAAGAGTCCTCATAGAGTCCATTCAGTAAAGTCCACAGATCAATATTGCATATGATCCTCAGTAAATGAAGCTATGAAGTCTTCCATCACCAGTGCAAACTCCAGCGCTTTAACACCCCATCAAATTGCACACTCACCAAAAGCTGGTGAATAACCAGCATATCTTTGTTTATCCAACACTCCACAGCTTAGCTTTAGCTTATAGATATCCAAAGCACTCCATATAGTACATGTAGGTAGAAAAAATACTTGCCATAGTGCAATAGCATTTATAAAATGTATTCAAATAAACCCCCCATAAAATCGTACTCACATTGAGTCAAAAAGATTCATGCATTTGTTAAACCTTTAACACATAAGAGCATCCAGCTCTATCAGCAGCGTCTCACCAGCCAGCCTGCAACCAAGATGGCGTTGATGCGATCACGTGGTCCGAATACGTGGGTTGGCGTGCGTGGTGACGTCACTGGTTAACCACGCTCTAACGCGTTTCGTCATACGACTTCGTCTGAGGGAGTGCTAAGCAGTACGTGGAGCGTGCTCTTAAAGAGCTGCCTCCTTTCTAATTGGTCACTTTAACCACCTCCCGCCCGCCATATAGTCCAATGACGGGCGCAAGGTGGTTCTCTCGTTCGTTGATGATAGGATGTCATATGACGTCCTGCCATTCTCACCACGCATGCGCGGCTCAGGGAACGCGCGGTGATCGGCGGTGCTGTGTCCCTCGGACACAGGGGATTACCGATCACGGAAAGAGCCGAAGATGTCGGCTCAGTCATGTGATCAGCTGTGTCCAATCACAGCTGATCACATGTAAACACGGAAATGCCGGTTATCGGCATTTCCCTCCTCTCGAGCTGTCACGCTGACAGCTCGTGAGGAGAGGAGAGCCGGTAATCGGCTTTCCGTGGAGGGGACATGTACACTAATCATCAGGGCACTGATGATCAGTGTGCCTTGATGATCAGTGTTGCCCCAGAAGTGCCACCTGTCAGAGTCCATCAGTGCCAGCTGAACAGTGCCACGTGCCAGTGCCCATCAGTGCCCAATGCCACATATCAGTGCATACCACATCAATGCCACAAATCAGTGCCCATCTGAGCTGCCCTTCAGTGTCACCCATCAGTGCCAGTCAGTGCCACCTATCAATGCCAATCAGTGCCACCTAGCAGTGCTGCCAATCAGTGCCAGTCAGTGCCGCCTATCAGTGCGCATCAGTGCCGCCTATCAGTGCCAGTCAGTGCCGTCTATCAGTGCCAGTCAGTGCCGCCTAACAGTGCCAGTCAGTGCCGCCTAACAGTGCCAGTCAGTGCCACCTAACAGTGCCAGTCAGTGCCGCCTAACAGTGCCAGTCAGTGCCGCCTAACAGTGCCACCTATCAGTGCCATATATCAGTGCTATATATCAGTGCTGCCTTTCAGTGCCCATCTGTGATGCCTGTCAATGCCCATCAGTGCCACCTACCAGTGCCTCCTCATCAGTGTCCATCAGTGCATCTTATCAGTGCCCATCACTACAGCCTCATTAGCGTACATCAGTGAAGGAGAAAAATCACTTATTTACAAAATTTTATAACAAAAACTAAGAAAAAAATTATTTTTTTCAAAATTTTCAGTGGTTTTTGGTTTGTTTAAGAAAAAAATAAAAAAAGCCAGAGGTGATTAAATACCACCAAAATAAATCTCTATCTGTCACAAAAAAATGATAAAAATTTCATATGGGTACAGTGTTGCATGACCGCGCAATTGTCATTCAAAGTGTGACAGCGCTGAGAGCTGGAAATTGGCCTGGACAGGAAGGGGATATAAGTGCCCTGTAGGCTAGGGGTTAATGAATACACCTGAAGGCATGAATATACATAAGTGGTGCAAATGGTCAGATTAATTGGATAAGCTAACCACACCCAATCCTCACAACAGCACTATCTTGTGTCTAAATCATATATGACAGCAGAATAAATAAAAAATAATAATATAACCTAAATCCAGACCACGTGATCGCAAAAATGCCATCTTGGTTGCAGGCAGGCTGGTGAGACGCTGTTGATAGAGCTGGATGTTTTATGTGTTAAAGTTTTAACAAATGCTTGAATCTTTTTGACTCAATGTGAGTACGGTTTTATGGGGGGTTTATTTGAATACATTTTATAAACGTTATTGCACTATGGTGAGTATTTTTTCTACCTACATGTACTATATGGAGTACTTTGGATATCTATAAGCTGAAGCTAAGCTGTGGAGTGTTGGATAAACAAAGATATGCTGGTTATTCACCAGCTTTTGGTGAGTGTGCAATTTGATGGCGTGTTAAAGTGCTGGAGTTTGCACTGGTGATGGAAGACTTCATAGCTTCATTTACTGAGGATCATATGCAATATTGATGTGTGGACTTTACTGAATGGACTCTATGAGGAGTCTTTATCCTTATATTTATATTTATAATTTACTAATTAATGCACATATTTGGTGGTGGATTTATTTATTAATTTTTTTATGTTTGAGAGGTAGCGCTATTATTTGTGGTTAATTTTTATATTTGGATGGAAACAGTATTGCCTGATGCCAGTGCCTCTTTCAGCAGGATAGTGCACCCTATCACACTGCAAAAAGTATTCAAGAATGTTTTGGCAAATGCAATGAAGAGTTTCAAGGTGTTGACTTGTTTGACTTAACTAGTTGCTCCAACTTCTTCAGATTGCAATCTTATTGAGCGTCTGTGTGATATGGTGGAAAAACAAGTCTGATCCATGGAGGACCCACCTCACAACTTACAGGACTTAAAGGATCTACTACTGACAGCTTGATGCCAGATACCACAGCATACCTTCAGAGGTCTAGTGAAGTCCATGCAGCAAAAGGGGGGGCAATGGGGGAGGGCACATCTGTTCATTAAGATCCCATCATACTTTACTATTTTTCGTGAGTTGTGTTAACACGTGTATTTAATGTGTGCCTTGTCTCATGTCAACATGGGTTGAGTGAGGTTGCCATTTGTCTTGGGCTTGCATCAATGATTGTTGTGCTAAGGCAGCCCATTGATTTTTAATAGGTTGCCAATGCAAAAGAAAAGGACATACAGCATTTTTTCTAATGCAGCTTGCCCTAACTTATGGTAGTTTGTTATCATGCATTGTGCTGCTCTACAATGCATCAGTTGCCTTGGTGCATTGGGGTGCCATTAGAAATGAATGGAACTGCAACACCCTAATGCATGTAACAGGGGCGGACTGACCATTTTGGAAACTCTGGCATCGCCCGAGGGCCTGGGGTCAGTAGGGGGCCCCATGAGATGCCCCTGGTACCTTTTTTCATAGGCTTTTTTGAGTTTGGGCAAGGACACAGGGGCCCCATGATCCCCTATTGCCCGGGGGCCCCATGAGTTGTTAGTCCACCCCTGGCATGTAATGTGGGCTGCAGTAACATGCACGCTACCGCAATGCACTGCATCACAAAAGTGATTTTTAGCCCTAAATTGTAATGCAGCTAATGTCCATTGGTACCCAACCAAGAGTGTATATGTGCTTCTTCAAGGCTCCAAGTCCATCTTGAGCACTGCGGTATCCCACTGACAGTGAGCACGTGCACTAACAATAATACATATTGCACAATCTGGAAAGCACTGAGATACATTGGAAAGTAACAGAATAATTCAGTTTGTTAAGGTGATTTCTGTATTTTGATCAATGATCATGAAGAGGGCCTCCTTCCCCCCTCAGTTCATTCCCCTATAAGGTGTCCTGACATTACAGCATGGACGGTCACCTCCATTCCCGTGAGATAATTCCCGAACAATGTGCATATGCAGGTCAACACACTCTAAGGAGTATTTGACAACTTTGCTATTCTGCCTGCATGATCTGTGTGGGAGAAAATGACACCATCATTACTGGAGAAAAAGGGTCTGGGGGACTAACAGAGATGCCAATTATCAAGATGACTATGGCAGCAAATTGTTTTGTATTTCTAAGCTCAGGTCTGCCAACAATTAGTTGTGAGCACATGATTGGAAAAAAATTACTTTTTAAAAGGTTATAATTTTCTTTTCTGTCATTACAATATCACATTTGCTGGTTATACTTATCAAATAAAAGATGCAATCTCTGTTCAGATAGTCAGATAGCCGCTGATGCCTGTTTAGCCTGGATGGGGACTCATATGCTCTCTCTCATTCATCCTATGGGACTGAATGAGAGAATTCTACAGGTGTACTATATATTTCTAGTCTAAGATGCGAATTCCCCTCACTTGAGAAGATATTCTGTAACGCTTCCTCAAGTGTTTCCTTTTACAAAAATAACCTAGCAGGGGTTTTAAAGATTAACTCCACTTTTGTTGCAAAAAAAAAAAAAATAGCCCTCTTTGGGTGATCAATGTACCTTGCAAGGATTTTTATCAAACTTTGTAGCAGATTCCTACCTTTTGTAGCCATGAAAGAAATATTGATTGTTTCATCAGACTGATTGCATACTCATTTAGAATGGGAGGGTCTGGTTCATTTTAATCACCTAGAGCACTTTTCAGTGTTCTAATGAAACAAGCTGCAGGGTCTGCATCCCTTTAGAAGTATTTAACCCTTGGGGAGTATCTCTCCAGAACTAAAATTACTATTGTAGAAGGTGCCCAACACTTGGCTTATTTCTTTGTACAGACTTCTGAGAAAATCAGAGAGCCAATCGTACACAAACAGGAAATTACATATTTAAGGTTCTATATACACCAATGGTGTACAGAACACCTTTGGGATGCCATATTGTATTTGTTACAGAAGAATACAGCGAATTGCAGATTGAAAAGGAAAGATAATTTTTAATAATATTAAATTACAACATGGCTTGTGTAGCAATTTTATATGTTGTATTATTTTTATTATTTGATATTTTTTTTTTCATGAAAATTGAGTTGCCCGTTAATTTTCCCTACTATATCCAAAACTATTGCAGCAGTCGTGCTGAGCATCTCTAAAAATAGAGAAGGTTGTCCCACGGTGCTCTGAAAGATGCTCTGAAAGATAAATTAAGTTACATGCAAAGTACCTCTTGATGTCTGCTGATACAGTATATCCAGGAGACAATTTTTAATGCATAATCATATTCCAGCTACACTGTTAAAGCTGAACTTCAGGATAGGTATATATTTCCTTAAACACAAAGAGTTCATGTGTAGTCTTACTTGAATCTTGCTTTGCTTTGGTTATTTCTTCTAGGTCTGTGCAATACTCCAGTGACACTTTTCCACTTTGTGCATGAGCTTCCTGTAATAAAGACCTGTCACTGCTGCTCTCTCTCTTGTGCAGGTAACTGGTCTCGTCTCCACCTCCTCCTGTAGCCTGTAGTGGGTGGAGCCTGCAGTGTCCCTCCCATAGCTCTGCTTTGTGCCCACAGTACATGATATCACTACTGCTTCTACAAGATCATGTCTGGGTTCGTAAAAGGCAATTTGGTGCACACAAAATAGATTTATATCTTTTGTGGCTATTGAGGAATATATATATGTAAGTTTTTGTGCCCAAAGTTCAACTTTAAAAAATATAGATGTATAGGTTCAGAGCTTAATTTGTGTAGATATTTGAATTATTTGTGAAAAGTCTGTCTCAGGACTGTAGTTTTTTTTTTTTTAAGAATAGACCTAATGAATAGGAACTAGAAACGTGCTGCAAACCCTAATTTCTTGTGACACAGAGGGGAGTAAGATGAGTAAATTGCAGGGTACCAAAGGTTACACCATCACAGTGACAACGTGCATGAATAGAAGTGAGTAGGATTCCTACTAGGATGCTCATTAGATAACAGATTATAATTAGGTTGTCTTCTCCAAAGAAAATTCAGGGAAAAGAAATGGAATAAATTAGTAGCAATTACTGTACATTACTGGAAACAAAGAAATTGTGTTCACTGTAAAGACTTTGTGCTTCCTTTACGAATAATTCTGTTCTCTAGAAGTTGTTGTGATTAATCCAGCATTCCCAAAAGTAGTATAGAAACAAAAGAAGAATCAAGCTTTTCATTTTCTCAGTGCCAGAGCCATTTTTAAATTTTTTTTTGCACGCATTTAAAAATAATTTTAGGCCTGAAGATTAGTTAAACCCCCTTGACACATTATATATTTTCTGAAAGAGAATAAACAAATTGGTAATTCCTATTTTTTATGTCACACAATGTTAGTGCAATGCAAATTTACCTTTAAAAAATTCACAAAAGTTAATTTTAGGGCACACAAATGCAATATATTACCCAATTTGTTGGTAAAATATCAAAGATGAGTTGTTCTAAGTACATAGACATCCAGTATGTCAAGGTGTAGA